TGAAAATATAAACAAAATTGATAGACTGTTATTCAAATTAACTGAGAATAGAAGAGAGGAGCTTCAAATAAGTTCAATCAGAATGAAAAAGGAGATCATAGAGCTGATATTACAGAAATACAAAAGATGATCTGAGACTGAGACCACTATGAACATCTCTGCACTCACAAATATGAAAATCTAGAGGAAATAAATAAATTCCTAGAAATGTATGACCTCCCAAGCTTGAATCAGGAAGAAATAGAAAGCCTGAACAGACCAATAATGAGTAATAAGATTATATCTGTAATTTGGATTTTCCCAAAAACAACAACAAAGAAAAGCCCAGGACCAGACGGATTCACAGCTGAATTCTACCAGACATTCAAAGAATTGGTACCAATCCTACTGAAACTTTTCCAAAAGATTGAGGAGAAACTCCTCTTTAACTCATTACACGAAGCCAATATCACTCTGATGCCAAAGCCAGGAAAGGACGCAACAAAAAAGAAAACTACAGTCCAATATCCTTGATGAACATAGATGCAAAAATTCTCAACAAAATACTAGCAAATTAAATCCAACAGCAAATCAAAGAGATAATACACCATGATCAAGTAGGTTTTATACCAGAGATGCAAGCATGGTTCAATGTACACAAGTCAATAAACATAATTCACCACATAAATAGAATTAAAAAAAAACCCATATGATCATTTTAATAGGTATAGAAAAAGCATTCAATAAAATCCAGCATCCTTCATGATAAAATCCCTCAACAAACTAGGCATAGAAGGAACATACCCCAAAATAATAAAAGCCATCTATGACAAACCCACACCCAACATTATACTGACCAGGGAAAAGCTGAAAGCATTCTTCCTAAGAACTGAAATAAGACAAGGATGCCCATTTTCACCATTTCTATTCAATATCGTATTGGAAGTCCTAACCAGAGCACTCAGGCAAGAGAAATCAATAAAGAGCATCCAAATTAGAAAAGAAAAAGTCAAATTATCTCTGTTTGCTGAGGATGTGATCTCATCACTCGAAAACCCTAACAATTCCTTCATAAGACTTCTAGATTTGATAAACGAATTCAGTAAATTCTCAGATTACCAAATCAACATACATGAATCAGTAGCATTTCTATACACCAATAACAACCAAGCTGAGAATAAAATCAAGAACCCAATCCCATTTACAATAGCTACAAAAAAAAAAAAAACCCTAGGAATACATTTAACGAAGAAGATGAAGAACTCTATAAAAAGAACTACAAAACACTGATGAAATTATAGATGACACAAACAAATGGAAAAATATCCCATGCTCATGGATTGGAAGCATCAATATTGTTAAAATGAACATACTGCCCAAAGCAATCTACAGATTCAGTGCAATTCCTATCAAAATACCAATGTTATTTTTCACAGAATTAGAAAAAACAATCCTAAAAATCATATGGAACCAAAAAAGAGCCTGCATAGCCAAAGTGATCGTAAGCAAAAAGAACAATACTGGAGGCATCAAATTACCTGACTTCAAATTATACTAAAAGTATATAGTAACTAAAATAGCATGATACTGATATAAAAACAGACACATAGATCAATGAAACAATATAGAGAACCCAGAAATAAAGCCATAAAGCTACAAACAACTGATTTTGACAAAACAGACAAAAACGTGTACTAGGGGAAAGGATATCCTATTTAATAAATGGTTTTGGGAAAATTCAATAGCCATATACAGAGGAATTAAACTAGACACCTAATTCTCACCATATACAAAAAGTAACTCAAGATGGATTAAAGACTTAAATGAAAGACCTGAAACAATAAAAATTCTAGAAGAAAACCTAGGAAAAACTCTTCTGGACATTGGCCTAGGCAAAGAATTTATAACTAAGACCGCAAAAGCAAATGTAACAAAAATAAACAAATGGTACTGATTAAACTAAAAATAATCAACAGAGTAAATAGACAACCTACACAATGGAAGAAAATATTCACAAACTATGCATTTGATGAAGAATAAATATCCAGAATTACAAGGAACTGAAACTACTCAGCAAGAAAAAACAAATAACCATATTAAAAAGTGGACAAACAACATGAACAGGCACGTTTCAAAAGAAGATATACAAATGGCCAACAAACATGGAAAAATGCTCAATATCACTTATCATTAGAAAAATGCAAATTAAAACCACAGAGTGGCTATTATTAAAAACTTAAAAAGCAATTGATGTTGGCACAGATGTTGTGAAAAGAACACTTATATGCTGGTAGGAATGTAAATTAGTACAACCTCTATGGAAAACAGTACAGAGATTTCTCAAAGAACTAAAAGTAGATCTACCATTTGATCCTGCAATCTCACTACTACCCAAACGAAAAAAAAATCACTATATCAAAAAGATACCTGTACTGGTATTTTTATAATAGCGTAATTCACAATAACAAAAAATATGAAATGAAACTAAGTGTCCATCAACTGGTTAATGGATAAAGAAATTTGGTATATATACCCGGTCACAAAAAAGAATGAAATAATGTCTTTTGTGTAACTTGGATGAAGCTGGAGGCCATTATCTTAAGTGAAACAATTCAGAAAAAGAAAGATAAATGCTGCATATTCTCATTTATAAGTGGGAACTAAGCTATGGGTACGCATGGTCACTCAGGGTGGAATTATAGACATTGGAGAATCCAAAAGGTGGGAAGGGGGTGAAGGTTAAAAATTACTTAATGGGTACAGTGCACACTGTTCAGGTAATGGGTACACTAAAGCCCAGACTTCACTATACAATATATCCATGTAAAAAGCTACACTTTAACACCTAAATCTATTGATATTTTAAAAAATATAAGTCATGATGATGTCATAGTTTTGAGCATTGATGGGTATGGAGACATGGGGGTTCTTTCCAGGTGCATGTAGATTTCTGGAGCTACCTCTTGACCACCAGCAAGGGAAGTGTGGTGGGCAGGCAAAGCCAGGTTCACTCTAAGCCTGAAAGATCCTTCTTGAGGTGTGCCTGTGGCACCCAGCTGAGATCTCTGGGACAAAAAACTTTGGGCACATATCTGAGAGAGTTTATTTTTACTCGTTTAATAAAAACTAACTGCTTTAAAAATGATAATATGCAAATATCATACTATGAATTTAATTAGGTATTGAATCTATAATGTACCAGGAAGTGTATAAGGCACTTGACATACACTAAATTCTTACCCAGATATTGATTTCCCACTTTATAGATGAGGATATTGATACTCAGAGAGATTAAATAACCTCCTTAAATTCATACTGCTGGCAAGAACCAGAGACATATTTCCATCAAAGTTTATTCGACTTTAATGACTACGATATTTCGTCAGAACTGTGATGATTATCCCTGGAATAAATATCAACAGATTGTTTTACACAAATTTTGCAATTGTATTGATCCATGGCCGTTAGCATAATATTGATCTTGAAACAACTGTTGCAATGTCTTTACTCTGACCACTCTCATCTTTCCATAAGTCGCACAACAGCAATCTAATTTACTTAATCAGGAAGAAAAAAGGGCACAGAAAATGCTCTTTGACCTCTGAAAACATTCCAGAGTTTCACCACTGACAGCTTTAGTTCAGGGATTAGAAAGGTTCTCAGTTAATTTGTATTGTTTTATCTTCATTCTATGTGTATATTGTCTCAAAACAAGTTAATGTGTCTTGGATGGAATGGATATTTGAGGAGAAAACCATTATCATGAGAACTCCCAAACTATTCCCACTCTGAATAAAGAAAGTCCATAAAAAATGATGGAAAATGTTCTGTATCTCTGCTATAAGCATTCTCAAAATCTGGTGATCTGTGAAAAAAATTAAAAGTTCTTATTTCAAAAAGCATAGTCTCTGGCCTACGAAGTCAGAATCTCCTGGGTGTGGGGCTGGGTTGTTATTTTGACAAAGACTTGCCAGTAGTTCTGATTCAGCAGAAGAGTAATTTGGTAACCTCTGCCCTAATTTTCCTGACCAGGTCTACATTTCAATGTTCCTCAGATTTCCTAATCCTTCTGCCCCTCCACACTCTTTGGTTCTTCCCACATTTTCAACGTTTTTTAAGAATTTACCAGGAATAGAACCCAATCTGTCGAATAACTGAGACAGAAAATAAACATATATTACTGCAACTGTAGCAACAATTGTCTATTGAGTGACAAAGAGTAACAATGTTTTCATATATGCATCCTCACTTTTCCATATATATGTATACGTGTATTTATATATATTCGTGTGACAGAAGGGTATGTACTTTATTTACATTAGTACACTTTTAGAACAGAGCCCAATGACTGAGGTATGATTCAGAGTCAAAAATGTTTAAGTTATTGAATTGGTTAATTAAACTTCATCCCTACTCAAGACAACTTTCAATTGAGTCTCTAAAAACCAAGTCAATAAAAGGAAATTATGTGGACATTCTTTCCTCAGACTTTGATGAAAGAAATTTGATATGCAAAGCAGTCTTGACTTTTGCTATTTAGAAAACCTATCTTGTAGTTAATTGGCATTTTACTATTAATATTCCATGTGGGACATCCAGTAGCCATACACATATTAGAACTGTACCCAGGTACCAAGCAAAGAGGGTACAGTGTATCTTTTGAATGCAATTGTATCCTGAAGGCACATTTAAAAAAATGTCTTGGATTCTTTTCCATTTGGAAGAATTTTAACTACCTTGGATAATCTGTCCTATTTGTATGTTTAAAGAAAAAAACTTCATGCAACCAATTTAATTGAATAAATAAGTAAAAGTCATTCTCAGAAATAAAGTTTGTTAAATATTACCATAAAATAATGATCAAATTCTGAGAAATTATTAAATATTCTTTAAAATCTAGAAGTCTAGAGTGAACTCCCAGAATTAGCTAGGTAATTTTTTTCTATTTGCCTAGGACAATTACCTAATAAGATGGTTAATCATCATTGAACTGATGAAAAAAAAGCCAACTAAATATTTAAGGAGGGACTTTAACAGATAAAGGACGGACTTGTTGCAGTTGCTATAGGATTCTAAGTTCAGGTAAGAACTTTTGAGATCCTCTACTTTCAACAGTTCTTCTATATAAGAAATTTTCACAAATTTCAGGGAAAAATGTTTTGATGGTCATGATAAATATTACAAATATTATGCTGTTTTCTTCACACTTATGTTCTTAGTCCTTAAGACCTAATAAATATCCCTTCTGGAGATAGATGAGCCTTAGGTTAATATACTCTTAAAGATAAATAACAGAAAATCATACATTTATAAATTTAAAAATGAAGTTTGAATCCTGTTCCTATTACTTCCTAGACAAGTGGAACTTCAAGGATGAAACAATGGATCTCTAGTTACCACCTTAAAATATGCTGCAAGATGATTAGTTTCATCAACTACATAGAATTATTAGACTCGACTCCCTATTTCTTTGATTTCATCTTACTGGATAACAGGGGCAGAGGGAGGGAGTTATTTGACAAACATGAAGAATTAGAACGTGTCTCAAAGTGACTTAACCACCTCTACTCTCCTTGTTTCAACTCAAGCTTGACTCAGGGTAAGGGAAAATGAGGAGATTTTATCTCTAATTAAATGAGAAAAAAAAAAACAACTTTTCAGCACAGTTCTTGGCATGAACTAAGGGCTCAATAAATATTAGGTTCCTTCTCTTATTCAGGAAGGTGTCTGCCTTTATAAGACAATTATAAGACAATATTTTTCTTGTCAAAGTAAGATGGGGATGGGGGAAGTCTCCCCAGCAAATGTCTAAGAAATTAGTAAATGCTGTTTTCCCTTGCTCCTCCTCAGTTCCATAGGCATGTCTAGACACTGGGTCACTTGGCCTGCAGTGATTTTGCTATGAATAGAAAAGGCTTAACACAGATAATAGAGGCTGGTAAGATTCTGTTCCCCACTCCACACTAATCAAACTGGGAAGAACCTACCTGTTCTATTCAGGGAAGAGATACAGTGCTACATCCAAATGCTTGTGGTTTTGTCTTATAAATATATTGTGTCCCCAAATTCATACATATATGTGTGTGTGTGTGTGTGTGTGTGTGTGTGTGTGTGTATATCTCAATTATTTGCAACCCAGAAAAAAATATGTTAAATGCCTGCAAATAAGGCTTAATTAAAATACCATGATAAATTAGAAAGTATGGTATTAAATCAAGCCTAAGTTGATATTTCAACTTTCTGGTTACTTTATAGATAATTGTTATAATTTAAGGTGAGACATAAGGAATAAAGTACTCACATTTCTAATTTTTTGTTGGATAATTCATTCCAAGACATAGGAGAGAGATATGGAATAGTTATCAGAGAAAGTAGGGGAAATACAGAGAAAAGTAATGACTATACAGGTATATTCTCCAGTGGTACAGCCATGTGGGAGAAGTTATCTCAACTGGGGGATAACTGGGAAAATATCAAAGAGGTAAGATTTGGAGCAGCATTACAACCAAGAGATGAACAAGGACATTATAGGTTGAAAAGAAACATACAGGAGAGCAAAGAGCTTTCTTCTTGGGATAGTGGTTCCACATATCTGCAGGTGTTTATGGTTGTCTTGGGAAATAAGGCTAAAACAAGGATGGTGTTTAGGTTGTGAAGACCCTCGAACAGGAAGGATGAACCTATTTTGTATAAGATGAAGGATCTTTGAATGATTCTGAGGATGAATATGATCTACATAGGATAGAGAGAAGGCTAGGAGACAGGACAGCCAGAATTTAATCAACTGAAATAAACAAGGCTAGGAGTGGTGAGACAATAGCCTTCAAGCCTTTAAGAATATTTGTTTACTAGAAAGAAAAAAAAAAGTCTAAACCTAAAGGAAGACTATCCACTTTGCAAGTCATTCAGAGGTTTGCAATTATAGGATTAATTGATAGAACAACAAAAAAAGATGTCCTAACATTTAAATGAAGAAATAGAAGGAGGTATTTGTGGAAAAACTAGCATGAAATTTATCAAAGGTCTGCTTATACCTTGAGACCACCAAACTATTGATTTCCTCCTCACTCCATCCTACCCAGGAACTGAACATACTCAGATACAGGCATGTATAAAACACACACAAAAAAATGGAATAATTGAGGGTCATTTCAATGTACATAGGTATGGGTTTCTGCGTTCATGCATATGTTTATATACGCTCACTTATACACAAGTGATAATATGCTTGGATATTTATTATTCACATTTATACACTACAATTAAATGCACCATATATTCATGGTCTTTATATGTTTATAATATAGAGAATTAAATTGTTGTTGAAAAAATTAATGAATAAAATATACAGTTGATCCTCATTAGCCACAGATTCTGCATTAACAAATTTGCAGACTCACTCACATGTATTTGTGACACCAAAATCAATACTGTTGGGCTTTCATGGTCATTTACTTGAATGCCCAGAGTGGCACAAAATTTGGGTTGCCACGTTCCCAGCTGAGGTGATGCTCTGCCTTTGTGTTTCAGCTTACATACTGCAAACAAAAGTTCTTTAAATGGTCTATTTGGTGCCACATTTTTTGCATTTTTATGCTTTGTGCTGCAGAGTGTACTGTTTAAAATGGACCCTGAACATAGTGCTGAGGTGCTGTCCAGGGTTCCTACGTGCAAGAGTGCCCAATGGAAAAAATACATGTACTGTACAAGCTTCCCTCAGGAAGGAACTATGGTGCTATTGGCCACTAATTCAATGTTAATAACTCAACAGTATATATTAAATAAAGTGCCTTTAAACAGAAACATACATAAAACAAGGTTTTGTATTGACCAACTGGGGACAATGTTGTGACCAGAGTGAGGCAGGCACCTAACCCTCTATCTCCCCTAGGAAAAATGATTCAGTATTTGCCAATTCAGTGTCCCCAGAAACTTTACAAATCATAACTACTGCAAATAATGAGAATCAACTGTACATATGACATGTTAAACATATTGTATAATTAATGTTCCATTAAAAATAATATATCTATGCTTATGTGTGTCTGCATATGTGAGTATCTTAGACAAGTATTATGTATTATGCACATATGTATGAACTAGAATACATTTTTAAACCTCAGTGAAGAACTCACTATTCCATATAAAAGAATGAATCAAAGCAAAAAGTTGACTTATTTTACTAGTCTTTAAAATAAGGGCTTAGTAACTTTCAAAATTATAATTTCTCTTACACTTTGACCCCAAAACTCCACTTTTAGGAATTTATATTACAGGTATGATCACACATAAATAAAACAGCATATGACATATTAAGAAAATTTTCTAATATGAAATAATTAGATACAAACTAAATACTTATCAACATAGAACTAGTTAAATATATTACGGATGACAAAATACCCTGATGGTACAAGAAAAATGAGGAGGTCCTTTGTTCTGAAGTTAAGTATATACAGTTGGGGAAAAAGGCAAAGAACAGTGTTGATGGTATGCTGCCATCTGTGTTAAAAAAGGAAAATTTTACATATTTAATTAAAAATGTATATCATATTTCCAGATAAGGGAATCAAGGTTAGAGGAAGAATATTTGGTTTTTTATTTGCATTTTCAACTATATGCATGTATTTTCTCTTGAAAGATAAATGAACACAATTAAATAAAGTAAGACCACAATGGTGGCATGGCCAGAGTCTCTCTGAGAGGTACTTGAAGTATCCTTTGTTCTTTTTAACAAATCTAAAGTCTACCTGCTTTTCAAGCCTGGTTCCAAAGGTACCTCCTCTCTGAAACCATCTTAGGCCATTCTAATTACAATTCATGGCATTATTTTTCTACTTATTTTGAGTATCTACTATGTACAAAGCACTGTTTGGCACTTTGTAAAACTATAAGGATGAATTAAATGTATATTTGCTTTTATAAATCTTATAATATATTATAGATAGAAAATATCAAAATTTTAATTTCTGTAATTTAAAATTTTTATTCATATAAACTATTGTGTGATTCTATATTATCTCATTTACTTGTTTCCAATTCCTTTCCATAAATTTATTTCCCTAACTAAATTATGATCTCATTAGGCTAAGGCTTTATGTGTGTCTTTCTTCCTTTTGTGTCTGGCATTAACTTAGACCAGTGGTCATGACATAGTAGGCCCTGCATGAATAGTAGTGAATGATTAATTGATTGACGTTGACCTTGTTGCTTTTCTTATTTCTAAATTGTATATTGTTAAAGTAAAATAAAATATACTTTTTCTTCCTTGAATAGGTGATCATTTTGAAAGAATCATCTACAACAATTAAAACCATTTACATGTCTGTGGGTCAATCATGGACCAAAATCAAGATCTGAGTAAGACAACAAAGACAAAATCTTCAGAGGAAAAGAAAACTAGGCACTGTGATGGATTCAAGGTAGAATGAGTTCCATGTTTCTAAACTAAAATAAATAAGTAGGGAATTTTTACTTATAGAAATGCAATTGGTTATTAAAAAGAACATTATATTTCAAATTATAATTTTTAATTGAAGCATATATTAAAATACAAATGATCTATACTTTTATTTAAATCCATCATTTAATCTTAAAGGCATTTCTTTGGTGAACTTTCTTTTTTAATTTCAAAATATTAAGCAAGTACAAATGTTTTTGTTACATGGATACCTTTTATAATGCTTAAGTAGGGGCTTTTAGTGTGCCTATAACCCAATAATGTTCACTGTACCCAATAGGTAGGTGTTTACCCCTGCCCTCCTACCCCACTTCTCGATTTTCTATGACCTCTATATCTCTTTGTGCCCATGTGTGCCCATCAATTAGCTCCAGTTATTAGAGAGTATATGTGGTGTTTGCTTTTCCATTCCTGAGATACTTCACTTAGGATAATAGTCTCCAGTTCCATCAAGTTGCTGCAAAAATCACAATTTTGTTCCTTTTTATGGATCAGAAGTACTTCTTTGGTGAAATTTCTGATGCTTAAGAGTTTACTAATATGGAAAATTTAGAAATACTTTGAATATTTTGATATCTTCTCTTTGGTTATTTATGGACCAAGAGATACTTACAAATGTGACTAAAATAGAAGATGTTGTATAATGAATAATATATAAAAATATTCTTAGAATTAACGTATAAATCTAGAAGATTAATGTCTTGTGAACCACTTTGTGGTCTTGACCTATTTAAATATTCTTTTTTCAAAGAACAGCACTTTTTTATTCTGATAACTTAAGTAACACAGTATGATGGAAAAAAAATCTGTGATAACAGATGTGTCCCGATGACCTGCTTGTTAACTTGGGAAAGCCATTTAATTTTTCCATTTGCAAGTGATAAAAGTAATAATTCTGCCTCTTGATTTTGTCACAAAACTGTGGGACATTAAATGATATTGGCATTTTCATAAACTGGAAAAAAAATACTTCTAAGTACAGTGCTTACGCGAGGAAGCGAAGAGTCGGCAAAATTGAAAAATTTGCCTGAAGTCACCTGTGTTGTAAATTGAAAACCCTGGAACCCAAGTCAAAACCTTTAAACAACCCTGTAGGGAAGTCTTGAGGAAAGGGAAAAAACAATCACAGCCACTTTCTACCAATATTTTAAGTTTTTTTATTTAGTTGAAGTTCTAGTCTTATCTAACTGAATAAAGACCACGGAGATCAGATTCATTTGCAATGATGTTACATAAGGTTCCTTTTATCTCTGTCCAAGGAACATGAAGTATGTTTGTTTTCAGAGATTACTGGTAAAATGTGCTCTGATGAAATATTTGAATAATATTTAAGCAGAAGGGCAGTCACAAGGAAAAATTGTGGGTTAATGTGATTGGATTACATTCTATTGTCTAGGGATAATATAATGTGCTGAATTATTTCTACTTTTAATTACTGTTACAGTGATTTCACTCGTACACACATTGCAAAGTGATAACAAACCGAGGCGAATAAGATTTCCAGAGTGGTCCCTTACAGCACACTTTAAGAAAAGGCTGGTAGGGCGTTAACAGTATGTAAAAGACATTACCCGCAGCCCAATAAAGAAGACTGGAGAAACAATAATAATAACTAACATTTAATGAACACTTACTATATGCCAGATCTTGGTCTAGTGTTTTACTTCTGTTAATAGATTTATTCCTTATCCCAATTCTATCAACCCAAAACTATTACCTCCCTCTTGGTTTCCTCATGTAGCACTGTGATTAGGAGTACGTGTTTCTGTTTATGAAAACAAACTAGGTATAGACAGAGCAAATGATGTCCCCTAGGTCTCAAAGTTGGTAAGGGGCAGAGCCAAGGTCTGAATTCAGGCAGTCTGATTCCAAATCCTATGCCCTCAGCTCCACTCCATATTGCTACAGTAACTGTGGATTTCCATACCACTAGTACCCTTATATGTTATGGTAGGCAGGGATTTATAAGTGGGCTATTTAAAGATCCTCTTCATTCCATACTTCTAAAAATTCACCTTCAGACCAAATCATGCAGTATCAAGCAACCACGGGATCCATATACTTGTTTATGTGCACGCACACACACAAATACACAAGTTGTTACTGATGTGCATATACAGACTCAGCAGGTGGAAATGCGTAAAAGTGCAAATAGATGATGAACACATTTTAAATAAAAAACATAATTTGATTCATTTCTACTCTTTTTCCCTCAAATTGTGCACTGAATCAATAGGCTATGTAGAAACTACCAGTGTACACTTCATCTTTACACATGTCATTTCTGTTCATGTTTCTTATAATGAAAACTCTTTAACAACACAAAAGTAATGCGTTATCATCAAAAAACATAAATGATAGAGCAAACGTAAAAGATCCCTTTTTCTACCTTCATTGCACTCCCCTTCCAGAATAACCGCCCCCAAATGCAACCACCAACAGTATTCATAACCCACAGTTTTCATTCTGGCTCCCTGTGGCCCAGGCATAGTGAATGGCCTTTTTGCTATCCTCAAACATGCCAAGCACAGTTCTGACTTGACAAATTTTGCACTTGCTCTTTCCTCATCTGTCATGTTCTTCTTCCAGATATCTTGGGCCTTCATCTCATTCAGATCTTTGTTTAAGCATTACCTCATCCCTGACCACCCCGTATAGCATAGTATTCCTTATCCATAACTCTTTAAGCAGCTTGAGTTTTCGTAACATTTATCATAAGCTGATACCAACACCCCAAAAACACATGTGTATAGGTATGTGTGTGCACACACATGTGTACTTAATGGCTTAAAACAAAATAAATTTATTGTCTTAAAGTTCTGAAGTTCAGAAGTCTGAAATGGATCTCCGTGGACTAAACTCAGGGTGTCGGCAAGGCTGTGTTTCTTTCTGGAAATTCTGGGGACAGTACATTCCCTTGCCTTCTCCAACTTTTGGAGTCTGTCTGAATTCATTGCCTCATGGCTCCCTCTGTATTCACAGCTAGCAATGGTCTGTCAAGTCTTTTTCACGTTATATCACATGGACACTGACTCTTCTACCTTCTTCTTCCACATTTAAAGGAGACTTGTAATTACATTGGGTTCACCAGAACAGGCCAGGTCAATCTCTTTGAGGTCATCTGATTATCAACCTTAATTCCGTGTGCAACCGTAATACACTCTTGCTGTGTTACCTAACATATTGGCAAATTCTGGAGATTACGGCCTTCACGTCTTTAAGGGTCATAGTTGTACACCACCACTGTAGCGGTAGGCAGAATAATGTTTCTATATGTGTAATTTGTTTATCATCTATCTCTCCATATTGTAAAGGAATCTCCATGAAAACTTAGGGGTTTGAGTCAGTGCTCTCTGCCTCAAATATAATGAGCATTCGGTATATATCTGCTGAAAGCTAGGCACAGTGGCTGGCACCTGTGATCCCAGCAATTTGGGAGGCTGAGACAGTAGGATCACTTGAGCCCAGGAGTTGGAGGCTGCAGTGAGCTATGACCATGCCATTGCACTCCAGGCTCCAGCCTGGGTCACAGAGCAAGAACCCATCATACATATATATGTTCCTGAAAGTACGGATATATAAACATTTTCATGCTCAATATCCTGTTTCATGGTGGCTACCGTTGTTGCCACCCCCCACCTCTTCTTCCTCCTCCTCTTCTTTTGTAACTGTGTTAGTGTTACTTTGATTTATTTACTATGGATTTAACATATTTTGAAACCTAGTGCATAATATCCACCCTCATTATTCTTAAAGGAAAAGAAAAAGAAAAAACAAAAAACATCTTGTATGCTCTTTTTGTATTTACTTTTTTTCATTTTGGTCATAATGTGCAGAATATTGATTCCTGACAGACTTTCATGAATGGTCTACTGACTGCACCATCTTAATATATTAATTTATTCATTTATTTATATACTCATTCATTTACCTGTATATGTATTTATATGTTTTTTTTAATTTCAGCATATTACAGGAGTACAAATGTTTAGGATACATATATTGCTTTTGCCCTACCTGAGTCAAAGCTCCAAGCATGTTCATCTCCCAGATGGTGCACACCACACCCATTAGGTGTGTATATAACCATCCCCTCCTCCCCCCTGCCACCTGCCCCATACCCAATGAGTGTTACTACTATATGTGCACTTAAGTGTTGATCAGTTAATATCAATTTGATGGTGAGTACATGTGGTGCCTGTTTTTCCATTCTTGTGATACTTCACTTAATAGAATGGGCTCCAGCTCTATCCAGGACAATATGAGAGGTGCTAGATCACCATTGTTTTTTGTGGTTGAGTAGAACTCCATTGTATACATATACCACATTGTATTAATCCACTCATGTATTAATGGGCACTTGGGTTATTTCCACGTCTTTGCAAGTGTGAAATGTCCTGCTATAAACATTCGAGTGTAGATGTCTTTTTTATAGAATGTCTTTTTTTCCTTTGGGTAGATGCCCCGTAATGGGATTGCTAGATCAAATGGTAGTTCTACTTGTAACTCTTTAAGGTATCTCCATATTGCTTTCCACAGAGGTTGTACTAGTTTGCAGTCCCACCAGCATTGTATGAGTATTCCTATCTCTCTGCATCCATGCCAACATTTATTGTTTTGGTGCTTTTTGGTAAAGGCCATTCTCACTGGACATAAGTGATATCTCATTGTGGTTTTGATTTTCATTTCCCTGGATTAGAGATGTTGAGCATTTTTTCATGTCTTTGTTGGCCATTAGTCTATCTTCTTTTGAAAAGTTTCTGTTCATGTCCTTTGCCCACTTTTTGATAGGGTTATTGGTTTTTTCTTGCTGATTTTCCTGAGTTCTGTATAGATTCTAGTTATCAGCCCTTTATTGGATGTGTAGAATGTGAATATTTTCTCCCATTCTGTAGGTTGTCTGTTTGCTCTTGCGATAGTTTCCTTGGCTGTGCAGAAGCTTTTTAATTTGATCAGGTCCCA